CATGAGGTGTAATTTGCCATGATCTTTTCTCTTGGCATTTAGGTGCTGTGAACAGTTCATTATTCATAGCTAACTTTTTTGACTTCTGAATCCTCAAAATGGATAGGACTGCATGAATTTTTCCGGGGTTTAGATTTTTTTTCCAGATTTTGATTTTAGGAGAGGATTGTTTCTAGTATGTTTAAAACCACTTCTCTTTTGTGCCTATAAATAACACTTAATCTTAAGATTCTTAATTGTGATTTTTTTTTAATACATACCAAATTAGTTTCTGTTTATTGTGGATTACGGTCAATGGAGAAGATATAATTCAGATAGCAGGAAGCCGTGCTGAGTACTTGCTAAATGCAAGCTCCTTTCACTGTACATATGTGGCAGCCTCAGTTCAACATGCAGACCTTCTTTTAGACTGCTGAGAACAAATTTTGTAAATATAAAATGTATATTTACATTTATTGAGCCATTGGCTATTGCTTATGCATGCAATAGGGAGATAAGGCTGTCTTAGTCTGTGGGTAGTTTTCCAAATGATTCATTAACTGTGCTTTGTAATGGTAGATGGATGTCATACATTTACTGTAATAAGTGAAGATTAGTGTCAGTTACTCCAGCTTGTAATAGTTGGTAATTGTAATAGTTCTGTTTATACATACAGGTATTTTTTGCTTTATTGTTGGAGCTAATATTTTAGCAGGAATAAATTGAAATTAGTTGAATTAATTGAAAAAACAATGTAGATGTGATGGAAGTATTTCTGAAACATTACTAATGTAGGAGTAGCTCTAATGGGTATTTGTGGCAGATACTCTGTAGGAGAGGTTTATACCAAGCCTTTTGGTAAGCAGTGTTTTGCAAAACACTGGCAAAGCTTATGTTGTCTTCCTCAAAGCATTTATTTGTGAAATCTGTCAAACAAAAATACCTCATACTTTGCTGATGCATTACCATAGTGAGAAAAGTAGTACACCAGGAAATGGTCATTTTTTTAAAAGCAGCAGTCTGATTAAATGCATGCACAATTTGAAACATGTAACTTACAAAATCAGTGAAATTCTATCAGATAGTATTTGCCAGGGTTAGAATATTCAGATTATTGGTGGCTAAGTGATCAAATGTCTATTAGCAGTAACTGCAATTTATGCTTCAAAGATGCTATTACCCTATATACAGAGTATCATATTGCAGTATTGGGAGTTTGGCAAGGTATTGCCCCCAAAAAAATAAAATGTATAAAATGTCAGCACACATGACATTTGCACTGTAATATTTCAGGACCGGTAGTAACTGCCTAAATTGGGTCAGAAAAAGTCTACAAAAAGATGTTGCTTGGAACACAGATATTGCTAAATTTACTTGCTTATGGAGGTTTAAGAACACCTTCAGGGATAGCAGTATATTTTGTTTTAAAAAAATTAACATAGGTGTTAAGTCACTCTTGAACTTTCAACATTTGTTTTGCTTATATCCAGATAAGCCCTTGATGAGTTAGGCAGACTAGAGCTTTCTTTGATATTTTGGTAGAATTTAATTGCAGCCCAATACTTTTCTGTATTTAAAAAAAGTTATTACCAGTAATTAAAACACAGTAAGTTAACTGTGTGCTCGGAAACTGGAGTATTGATTTAAAAAATATTCATACTGTGATACAGGTATTGAATTAAATTTAAATCTTAGTGTTGTGGATAGAGAGGAAAAAACATACAGCGACTGTCATGTTGAAATCTATTTGAATAAATAATGTTCCTCTTATGTAATGTGCTGACTGATGTGGAATCAACAGCTACTTAATATTAAAAACAATGCTTGACAATAAACATCCCAGTACATGCACACTGAATTCTGCCCGGGGTTTGAGCTCCAGGCATGCCAGGGACAGGACCAAATGTCTGGGAAGGAGAGCCAGGGCTTACCTTTTGGTTACCATTAATAATGTCAGTTTCTACTCATGGCAAGAGTCAGTATGCACACCTAAAGTAAGTGTTATTCCTTTGTGCTTGTGAGAACTTCAAATGCAAGCTCTGCTACAGAACTGCTTTTGCACCAAAATCACTCTGTAAATTGAAGTTCAAAATTATGCAGTAAAAAAAATCTAAAGTCCTTTATTAGAAATGCATTTAATAATTCTTCAACATTTCTCTCTATCCATTATCTCTTTTTAATATGTATATAGCAAATGGATTTTCAGTAACCTATGACTTGGCAATAATTTGAAGGGCAAGTAAGTGCCTTGGTTTTTCATTCTACTATTAAAAAATCAGAAAAACCTAAATGGAGTTGAGAGTAACTAGGAAGAAAACCTGGCACCTGGTGCAAAATTAGCTAATGCCAAGATACTTTGAAGTATATGAGGAAATGTACTTGTTCAGGAACAGATTTTTACTGAGCAGCTTACTCTTAATGTTCTGAATGTGTTAAATGTCTTGGGTTGAATTCTGTTTCTTTGCTTGGTGGGGAAAGTACGAATGCTGAAAATTTAACTATAGAGCATTTGCAAAATGCCTAAGTAGGACACCAACCAGTTTGGAATTTTGTTTTCTTTCACAGATTTTAAAAGATCCAGGATTATTGTCTACTGCGGGGAACTATAGATAGCTTTTGAGTCTGTTGCTAATAATAGAGGATGTACCTTTCTCGGTGTGTTGTGCTGAAGTCCTGCTTCTGCTGAAACTGAAACCAGAGGTGTTCTATCCCTGCCGGCTCCAGAGGGGCAGGATCAGTCCCTAAAACTGCAGCTTATCTCCTGGGGTTTTGTGTTGGGAAGAATATGGTCCAGTGATGTAAAGGCGCACGGGAAGCTGCTGTTAACCATGTCAGTGGCTTCACTCATCCTCTGACTGTGCCTCGGTGTCGGAACTGGGATTTTTTCCCCCAAATTTCAGTCGAGTGGCTGCGGGTGCAGGCTGTAGGAGCAGGAGCTGAGCTGGAGCGCGGCCGCCTTGGGGTGCGCGCCCCGGCCCCGCGGCAGCTGCCGGCGGAGCTCGGAGCCGTGGGGTCGCGGAGGTGCGGAGATCAAAGGATGATCTTCCAGCTGGAATCTCGAGCTAAACAGATTTAGCAGCATCTGAAGCTTTTAAGTAGTACGTGTGAGTAAATACATGGATGGAATTAACTTGGAGAAGGGAAGGAAGTATGGCTGATGCCGGGTAGAATGGGGATTCTTGAAGGGAAGAGAGTGTGGGGCTGGCAGAGCTTGGCCAAGATTGCCAGCAGTACTTGGTGCCACGTGGCTGGTAAAATTGGCAGGGGGATTCTGGTTTGGATGTGCCCGTGTCTTTCAAGAAGTGACTATTTTTGTGCAGTTTATTTTCAAAATGATTCTGCTGTGTGGTTTTAAGGCATTACTGTTCAGCACAATGTGGCAAGGCTTCTTTTTATTTAAAAGCTGTTAAACCAAGAAGCTATTCCTGGGCTTGATAATAAAAATAATGGTAATTCAAAACTTATTTCCATTGATAAAAAAGAGGGTTATTTCCTAAATGAAGCATTAAGCTAATACTGAAGCGTTTCAATTAAAAAAAAAAAGACATGACCAGAATATAACCTATTTAGACTCTGAGCCACCCTCATGCAGTTAATTTTAGAATAGACACCCTTTTTTGGGGGGGGGTGTGTGTCCCCATCCTCCTGAATTACAGTCCTAATTTGTCACAACATCTACCTCCCTGGATTTAAAAAAGAAAGCAGATTAAGTCTTGAGTAATTATAACAATTACAGGATCGGCAGAATACTGGGTTCAGAGTGTGTGGTGCCTTAGCCCTCTATTCTCCCGTGTTTGTCACTGTCCCTGGGCAGTGGAATCTCCTGCCTGGGGCAGCAGTTTGCATCACTGACTCTCTGGTGGAGGGAGGCTGAACCCATCTGAGGGATGATCCTCGATTCCAGTGAAGCTGCACATCACAAACCTCACAGCAGGCAGCAAAAGCCACCATTTGTGTTGCTTTAATTTATCCAGAATTAAGACTAAGATGATGCCCTTCCTTTGGCAGAAGTGGTGGCAGTGAAGATGGACTAGAAGTTGTAGTAGAGGCAAATTACATAGAAAAATCTCTAAGTACCCAGGTTTTTCTGCTTCCTTTGTCTGCCTGTGCAGTTTTGGGATGAAAACTTGTGTTTTGCAGATAAACATGCAGGCAGCTTTGCTCATGTGACGGGTGGCACTAGTGACAATGGGGCTACTGTCCTGCAGCACACTTTGCTAAGCTGGATTCTTTTATTAGTCGTTTTTTGGAAAGGTCTATTTAAGTCTCTTCTGTGAAAACAGGAGATTTGTGTTTCAAGATAGGTGTGCTTGTTATAATTGCAGCCTTCACCTGTGCCTGATAAGGCTTTCTTTGATTAAACCTTTTTTATTCTAGTAAATATCTGAAGACCTTTGTATCTGTGAAGATTGCAAATCTAGGGCTTTATTATTTAAAGAGGTGTCATTTTGTTAGTGGAAAATATAGGTGGGGAATATAGGTCATCACTGGAACCAGTCAATGGTATGTCTTGGGACACCAGGTTTATTAATAGAAGGGAGGCTGAGTGATGACACGGTGCAGGTTGACTGTGCCTGGTTAATGTTGTTGTCATTGCACTCTGTGATACAGTTATTAAATAGGTAAAATATTTTACCTTTTCATATAGAGCCATACACTTACTTCATCTGATTTAATGGAACTATAATTTTAATTATGATTATTACCTTAAATTATAATTAAATTTATGTGGTTTAAATTTACATTTGTGAAAATGGCTGCGTGATGAAAGTAGAAATCAGCTTTGCATTAACAAAAAAAGGGTTTTTTTTAACTGCATCTTAGTATATGCTCACAGCCAAAGACTAGCATGACCTACTTTGCAACAATAACAGAGGAATCAAGCCGGGTTTTTTTGTTGAAGTATCTAAATTGGCCATGAATGCTACCTACTCATTCGTTTGTGAGTATCTTTAAAAATAGCTATTGTATCTATGAAACTTAAGGATGTTTTTTTTCCCCTTTCTCTTATTTTGCTATAGATAATTAGCACCATGGAGCCTCAGGTGTCGAATGGCCCTACTTCCAATACAACCAATGGACCCTCCAGCAACAGTAGAAACTGCCCTTCCCCCATGCAGACAGGGGCTGCTACAGATGACAGCAAAACCAACCTCATAGTCAACTATTTACCCCAGAACATGACCCAGGAGGAGTTCAGGAGTCTCTTCGGGAGCATTGGTGAAATTGAATCCTGCAAGCTCGTGAGAGACAAAATCACAGGTAAGCACTTTGTGTTGTGGGTCAGTTTGTGTTTGGGGTCAGCAGAACCGTGGTGCTTTTGTATTGCAAGTGCTAACACAGGGAATGCAGCAGATGAGTGCTAAACTTCAGGGGCAAGCCTTTAGTTTTAGTGCTGTGCACTGTATCTAGAGCAGCCAAGATGCACCCCTGTCTCTCAGCCTCTACAGATCTGGGGGAGAAGTCTGAACATTGCCAGTCTGCATGTGTGTTACACACTGTGCAGCTTCTTGCAGGAGAGCTTAGACAGTGGCCTTGCTTTCCTGCTCATTCTCATTTTTATTTAACATGGACTTAGCTGAATGTCTTGAGCCAGCTGACGGTTCTGAGTTCTGACTCTGCCATTTGAGCCTTACCAAACCCCCATTAAATGTCAGCCTGTTTAAGAACACCGTAAAGTTAGGTGGTTCTGCATGTCCATCACAGCTTATTGACTGTGGTGTTCTGGAACAGCAGTGGGCTGTAGTTGAGACACACTGCTCTGGAGTTTGTTCAGGCATCTGTAGATAATAGTTAATTAACTCTGGTCCCCAAAAACATTTTAGTTTGCAGTGATCCTTTTTCATATGAAGTAGCATCTGTTAGTAGGTACCTTCAGAATAAGATGCTCCCGTGGCAGATGCTGCCTCAACAAGGAGAGGTCTGCCCTGTCACTAGAGGAGGTGTGGATGGGTGCAGATGCGCCTGGCCTAATCCACATCCTTGTTGCTGCAGCCAGGAATCCGCTGGTGCACAAGATGGGATGAACAATCAGCTTTTATAGCTTGCTTTATAGGTTACTTTTCTAGGTTGTGTGTCTACTCACACCGTAGGTGGGAGCAGCTGAAATTTCACTGCTGTTCAGTGCATCACCAGCGCTGTTATGTTTAGCACAGAGAGCAGCAGCCTTGGGAGGGAAAGGGTTCCAAAAAAGGACTCAGCTCCCCTCAGAGGCTCTCCTGGCAACTTGGGTGTGTGCTCTGTGGGAAGAGGCACCATGGGAAGATGAGGAATTAAAATGCAAATCTTCATACCTGCTTCTATAACATCCTGGCAGCCATTCTATTGGCAGTGTTAGCATGATCTGCTTAGTGCTTTTCAACATGCAATGCTTCTTTTTTGTTTACTTCCCGACACACAGCAATGCTGATTGAACACAAGGCACATAACAAATGGCAGTAGCTGCAGGGCAGCTTGAGTCCTCACAAGTGTAGTCCAGCAGAGCTTTCTTTAGCACGTTGACCATGATGTATCTATTGCAGTAAATCTTCTGATTTGGCCACAGCTTCGGGTGTTCTGAAAAGAAGATTGAAAAGTGGAATTGACTTTTATTTACTTTGTTTTTTTCTACAGGCCTTTGTTTATTTTTTCTAGGCTGAAAATAATCAAAAAAATTTAACTGCAGGTTAGTCCAGTTATTTCAGGTAGGAGTGAAACCCTCCTCTATAGGAGTCTAGGGCGCCTAGCTTGAATTTTGATCTTTTCATGAGCTTTTACTACTTACTCTATCCCTCAAATTCATGATGATGCTCTTACAATATATTTTCAAGACTTTAGATATTCAGTGTTGTTTTCATAGGGAGTGGATTGTCTTTGGACAGTGAGCCGTTACTTCATCAGCAAGGAGCAGTATTATTTTTGTTTTATTCCATCTCCAGGCTTTTGTCTTTCTGTGTGAAGATAGAGGAATTTGCTGTATGATCTTCTGACATATTCTTGGGTAGTTTTTTTGCCTATGAGTTTTCTTTCCATACAAAGTGCATAAATCTTTGATCACTAAAATACTTTAAAGGAACCGTTCTTTAAAAAAAACTGGCACAGATGCCTTGAGGACATCACCCCTACATGTTGTTTTAAGAGGTGATACAACTGCAAAAGAGCCCTATTTGCAGGAAAAAAAATTATTCTCTGAATTATCTCTGCTGTTTTTGAAAACAGAATTTCATCTGCCAAGGTTTTTAGGCCTGTTATCAAGGCATTGTGCAACATTACTGAATTTGAGGATGCATATTCATTCCTTGCATTGAATTCAGAGTTAGTAAATCAGATGCAATCCTCCTGCTAGAAGCAGTTCATGTTTTTAAGGTTCTTAGAACATGGAGAGTAACAAAATGGAAATGCACTGAGGTCATACCCAGCTCATCTTTCTGGATTATCATGTAAGCATGTTCTTAATTAGGCCCCTGGACTGGTTTTTTGGGATGGGAGGGGTGGAGGTATGCAAGTAGGCCGCAAGAGGAATGATTGGCTTTTCAGGGGTTCTTTGCTTTTTCCTTATTAAAAATCAATAGAAGTGTTTTTCTGACAGTGAAAGCTGTATTGCAAAGAAATCCAGTGAATTCTTAAGCTATTGCTGAAGCAGTGAAGGTGTGAAACAGTTTAGATTGTCACTGCTTTTGGATTCTTAATTGTTTCTGTTGAAAATTTTGTGGCTTTAATAAAAATCTAAGCTAAGCATGCTCTGTTTTGTTATGCCTTTAAATGGATGTGGCGTTCTTTATGTTAAAAGTCTGGTTTGTCTTCATGCATTGTAAGTTTGCTTCCTTCTTGCTGGGCTGAATTACCAGGCAAATTTAAAAAAAAAAAAAAACGTAGAATAAAAAGCTGTAGAGAGAGTTTGCTTCAAGAAAAATAGAAAAGGTCATAAACCAAATAATGATTAAATAGTTATCCTGGCAAAACCATAGTAGAAAATCTCAAATGTATTTCTGAAGCTAGGTAGCATTGAATTGGCTCATGTAAAAGATTCTGTTTTCCTTGTCAAGGAGCTGCGAAGTTGGTTTGGTTTGTTTTTTTTTTTAAATAATGGTGAGTCTTCTGAAATGGTTTTTTGAAGGAGTTAAAAGTTATAGAAAGTCTTTTTAAACATACTGGATCTCTCCAATAAAATTCATGACCTGAACTCTTTTATTAATTTTGAATTTGGTTAAACAATGACAGGAACAGTCATCTGCTCCAAGTCTTTTTGCAGTCTTAGAACACTAGTAGGAGTTTTTAATAAAATTGATTTATGAAGTTGCCCCCTCGTTTTGGAAAGGCACATGTTAAAACAAGCATATTCCTTTACTAAAAAACTATGCTAATTTGGTAGTACACTGCACTGAGTTGAATAGGAATGACAGCTTCTAAGACAGCCTTTAATTTGGTATTCAAAACCAAAATCGTAAACTTAGGTTTTGTTTGGTAGCTTCTCAGAACAGTCAGGATATACAGTAGCATTTTTCAAAGATGCTAATGACTTGAAAGAGGAGATGGAAGTCAGGCATACATTTTAATTATGGGGGAGGGGATGCAATAGGAAAAATGGTTTGGGTTTTTTTCACTGCAGAGATTTTAAGGGAATGAGACAAGGAAAAACAGACTGAAGATAGCTGCCTTCATTTGGCAGGGGTGTTTAATAAAAGCAGAACTTGTGGTTGTAAAGTGTGCTTATTAAATTCTTCATTTACACTACCTAATTAATTCTAGCATTTTAAATTAACAGTGAAACTGGTCCCTGCTGTACCATTTCATAGCTACAGCATATTTCGTCCAACAACCCAGTTGTTCAGGTTTAATCAGCTGTGCTCAAAAAATGAGAAGGAACTTGGGTTAAAAAAAACCAGCTAAGTGGCATAAACATTTTAGAGCAGCATTAGATGAGAGGAGGTAACTTCAGGGAGGAAACCTATGGCTTCAGATGGTTGTGAGTGAGGCTCAGCATGAACCAGAAATGCTAAGCTAGAGAGTGTTGCAGATGCTGTTTATTTCTTATTTTGTCTGAAGAAAACCAGTGGCAAATATCTTCATCGTTTGAGGGGAGAGGGCTTGAATTCATGAGACTTTTGAGAGAAGAAATGCTGAACTGGTTTTGTCCTGTGTTTGCAAACAAAAGATCCAGTCAGCGTAGCATCCGTCAGACACTGTAAGTGCTGCTGACCCTCTCAGTTGTCCTTGTTGACATAGTTTGTGTGTGGGAGAAGGGGATGTTTGTTACTAATTTTTTAATTCATTTGGTAGCTTTTTTGTTTGTTTCTTTTTAACTTAACCAGGAACTTACATCTTTGAATCTTCAGATGATTGCTATCCAAAAATCTTTGGCTTGCAAATCTTTCGCATCTTCAAATGATCCAGGAGCACTGTAAAGCAGAATATTTATTGATACCAGATTTCTGTGCATCCCTTAAGTTATGGCAGGGTTTGCATAATTCTACTGTGTGGTACAATTTGATGTTCTTTGCATGTATAATCAGGAACTTTGTTGTTCCTCTACCCAGAATATAACTTTGTTTTTGGGTTTATTTAATTGTTCCTTTTTGAATTTGCAATTCCTTTAAGATTATGTACAAAGACCAAAGCCTTTCACTTTAGTTTCAGGTATTTATAATAGCACTGATGCAGGTTTAGATTAAAACTGCAGTTCACAAATAATCATGACATTTTAAGTATAATTTAAATATCAGTGAGTGAAAAGGAGAGAAGGGAATACTGGCTGCTTTACCTGTAGTCTTCTTTAGAAGGTATGGATTGTCCACTCCTTACTCCTTGAATGTTCAAGGATAAGGATCCAAGAACCAAAACCTACCAAAATGGCAAAATCAGAAATCATGCAGCATTAGGAGAATACAGGAAGGTATTTTTCACATGAGAAGTGTGCAGTGCTCATTCCTCTGTGGAAACCAATGAATTGTTGGCCTGGGAATGCTGTTCTGCTCCTTCAGTCCTGAAGTTTGTGCACCCTAAGTTGCTATCATGTGCCCTCTAGGAAAAAATATTTTTTCCAAATTTCCTGTAAAATGAGAAACCCAAATGGAAAAGCTGCTGCTGTAAAAAGCAAAGACACAGATTTTATTTAACCAAGTGATGGGGAACTAGTGTGTTTCTATCTAGAACATGCTGTTCAGAGCTGCATGTTTGCAGTTTGTTGAAATTTGGAGCTTAATTAAGCAGCCTTAATTTCAGCATCTGCATTTAGAAAGCAAGGAATGGAGAAGGTCTGTATCCTCAGGAGCAGAAGCTATTAA